AGCTGTGGACTCCATGGCTGTTGTGGATATTTGAGATCCTTGCACAACCATAAGGCACAAGACAAATCAGACTAATGTTTCAGGCATGAGAGTCACTGCAATCTTGCAGCCAAATAGCTGCCTGCTGAGCCAACTCTACTGCCAAAGATCCACTATATCTGACCACTGGGAGGGACAGCTTCGGGGCAGCATGATCTGGCAAACCAAGCTATGGACTAAGAAGAAAGGACTAAACTCAGCTTGACAGTGATTTCTTCCACATCCTGCATGAAACCACAAAAGCAAATCTATGCAAAGTCAAGCAGCCACAATTACCTATTACTCCCACTGACTTGAGTATGTGTTCTCAAGGTACTTTAGTTTTACAGGATCTGCTTCAAAGATCACTGTTTGCAATGGAAAGACTCCCACTCTTAGGCTCATGAAAATAGATCATGCCATACATTTCATTCACAGATTTGAAAATGCAATGCAAAATAAGGCCAATGTTTCACATTACATATACGTCTGTGGTAGTATGACTGTACTCCTGAGCATGCACATGCATTTTCCTCTATGAGTATACTGTAAAATTGGGAAACACACTGTAACAGTTCTGTATCTCCCAGAGACTGGAGTAAACAGTTGCAGTGCACCAGGGATTTGACTGCAGAATGGTGATATTTCCCTATTTATTTATTTAATTTTTTAGTACCAAGTCTCCATGATGTGAGTTCTTTGCCTGTATAGAAATTTACAGGAATTGTCAGGAAGTTTTTTAGAAAGCTTAGCACTGGATCGGGATCAGAGCAGTCTCTTTGTTTAGCATTCAGAAAAATACAGCTGGAACCACATATTTTTTGAGTGAGTAGGCCTGCACGTATTTTCACAAAAGGATTTGAAGCACTTGAACAAACTTAGGACAGAGAGACCAGTAGATGGAACTGCTGCTTGGCAGAAATAAGGTACAGCAGTTTGGAAACTTTGAATACACATATACTTAGCTTGAGCTCTGAGCTTGGACCTCTACAAGTACAAACATTGTTGCTGCCTTTGCTGTTAATCCATTACTGCCCAAAATTAACAAAATGAATGGCATATGCAATAAATCAGGTCTTCCTTCCCAAAGACTCTGAACCATGGCAAAGCTTCAGCCACTCTGCAACTTCCTGGAACCTGAACTAGGTTCCCCCATACTGTAAAGGAGCAAGATTCATTATATATACGCCATGCGTATTACAAACACAACCACTTTTTCTATTTTGTAGGATTAAAAACATAGACGACAGTGATATTGGGTGAAAACAGATAATGTAACGTTTTTAAAAAGATCATCTATGAGTTTCTACGTCTGATAGACAAATAAATGTCGTAAAGAATCATAGATCTTAACTATTACTGGCCCAGAGCTCATCACTATTTGTTCCAGCAAGGGAAAGAAAGTCTATGGTTATCATGAATAGATAATATGTACACTGGCACAGTATCTTTGAGTACACAAATAAGTAAAAAAAGTTTTGACAAATTTACATATGTATGTATTTATATATCATACAACTAACCACTACTAAACCAGATAGGAAAGGCACTCATTTCTCACCTTCCTTGCTATTTAAAGAGAACTACTTTGTATATTTGATGGCACTGTCTATGATAATTTACAAGCATCGCTATGTTAAGTTTAAGAGCACTGGTTTAACCTTTATTCTCTAGATATTTTCAGTTCATTCACATCAATGATATTTTTGTATGTGAAAGAACATCAGAGAGGTATCAGTAAGATGTTACCGTCTAAGACACTGAAACTCAAAATTAGTTGAGAGAAAGTGTAGGCATAGTATAAAGATGAGACTGCAGATAAAAAGTACTGTGTTTTGTAGAGATATAATAATTGCTACAGTTTTTGTGAAGGTAGACCAACTGGAAATCATGACTTGCAGTTATAACATTGCTCTCACTTCTGCTAGTTTCTAAAACAGAAAACACTTTCTATCACTCGGATCACAGAAACCGCAATCTAAGATAATAGAAGTTTGCTAAATCCCGCTTTAACTTCCAGACATAATTATGGACAGGATATTGGACAAACTGCAGATACCTGAGGTATTCAAATACTAAAGCTGGCCTTTTCTGTTTATAGTTATTTAACCTCTTAAAATATGATCATCTCTTATGATACAAATCTGTACTGATGCATGTGTTTTCATCAGTGTGGTATACCATCAACTTTTACAGTAACAGAAAAAGAACACATCTTTACAGTGTTTATAACAAGCAGAATTAAGGGAGGATATAAAGTCTCAAAGTTGTTACACAATTTCTTTGTTATGCAGGAAAAACTCCATAAAACACAGCATTTCAAAATCTGTTTCCTATTAAGCAGTTATATAAAAAGAAAATAAAAATACTGAATGATTTACTGATTCGCGTTTTCTCCAAATCAGATTAGTTTATCTCTTTTCTCTGTCCAAATTTAAGCACTTTAAAAATGCATAGCTACAGCCCTGGTTTTGGTAGGATTTGCAAAACAACTTTCATTTTTGACAGCAGTAGTGAAACTAAGCATCAAAATCTAAGCTGTTAAATAGCGCATATGATGTTAAAATTAAGAAATCACTTATCATCAAAAGCAGTGGTAACAAATGGGTTCTTTCTGACAAAAGCCTGATCCTGCCATTGGTGATTCCTTCTTGTGCACAACATTTTGAGCACAACTCTTGCACAGAGGGTCATCTCCTGTACATCTGTCCTCAAATCTGGATAATATAAGGGAAAGGCTTAAGTTTCTGTGAATGCTTAAGTATGCTCGTTTTCAAGAAAGTACTTACCAGACTAGACCATAAAATGCTCGTGTTAGAAATCTCCAATAAAGCAGAACTAATTTCCTATCACCTATTCCTTAAGTGGCATAAATTTTAATCTATGGAAACAGATACGTGCACGCACAGTGAAAGGCACTGACGAAATCTGTTCTGGGATGCCATGCCCTAGGAGATGAAAAGCACAAGAGGACAGCCATGAGAAGGACTGAGGAATAGAGAGTCTGTATACTTTTTGTGAAAAGACTGAGAAAACCTGGTTTGGTTAGTCCTGCAGAGTGAGTGCTGAGAGAGGATACGATTGCAGTCTATTAATACGTCCTGAGATAAACACCAGGGAGGTAGAAGAGCTGTTTCAGGGGAGGATAATTTTGGCAGGAGAGCAAATGACTATAAAATAGCTCTGAGTTGCACTTATCCTGGAATTTGGAAGATTTCTAATTAGGAGAGGACTGAGGTTCCAGAGCAGCTTCCTACATCAGCAATAGTGAGGGCAAAACATTCAAATACTTCCCAACTAAAACTTAATCAGTTTACAAAAGGAGCTGTGTCATATGGCTGCCTGTAACTGTAGAAGACTGCATGCAGTGAGCAAGCAGATGCCTCCCCATCCAGTATTCCTTCACTCATTACTCACTAGCTCATAGGCCAGCCACAGAGTATGCTCTGTCGGAAGTCTTCTCATTTCCTGGTTCACAGAGAAACTGAAGACACGACTAGTGAAATCTTAGAAAAATTACATAGGATGTGCAATTTACGTGAGTTAATCTTCCTACAAGACCCTTAATTTGTTTGCATCTCCTGGGATTTCTATGGGTATGTCTTCAGTTTTCATTAACTGTTCTCTAATCCCTAGTGCCTCAAACTGTAAAAATACCTATGAAATAAACAATGCATTACTGCTCCAACATTGACACATTTGCTTGGAACCATCTCTGCAAGCTGATATTAGATGTTCCTATCTCTACTATTTGCTGTAGAATGCTAAACTAAGTACATTAAATACAGGAGTATACAAACCAGAGCATTTTTGATCTCCTAGCAAAGAAAATTTCATCATTTTTTCCTATAGAAAACTGTCTTACTCAACATATACTGAAGTAACACAAAGTAAAAATATTTTCAAGTGCTACACCCAAGACTGCAAATGTAATTTAATTTCACATTTAATGAGAGCTATACAGCTAAAATCAATGAAGAAAACAGTCTAGTTTATGCACAACAGCAGGAGGAATACATTCAGTTAAACCTCATCTGACATTAGACTTGATTTCATGCTGACCTTGCCCAGCTGGCAGATGCTTTTCTGCCTGTGTTTTGGCTTATACATGTCTGACATCCATAACTGCAAATTAACTGTACTTAATTTTGTTCAGATTAATTCTGCTGAAAGTCACACACTAGGAGGGTAGGAGGTTAAAGTCATAGTGAAGTGGATGCCAATATTCTCCACATCTGTATTTCTAAAGTATTGGCAGCACTTTAATTTCCTTGGGACTCTGCATAGAATATTGTTGGAGTTGTGAAAGTTTAAGCCAGCAACATGACTGCATCCAGCTGAAACTTGAGAGGATGGAGAAACCTTTCACACTGTGTCTTGGAGCCCCAGAAAAAATATGTATAGATTGGTGAGTGGTTTTAGTGCACACTGGCTTATACCTCTTTTCTAAGGAAATAAATATTGCCAGCTTTGCCACTACAGAAAAGTTCTAGGAGTCCAAGACCATCACATCTTGTCAAGCATGGCAAATCTATGAGACAAAAGACATTTTACACCAGAAATACTTGGAGCTTGTGTTCAACACTGATTCAAAGTTCTCATCCAGTTTAACAATTTCTTCTTCTTTAGCACATGTAACTTGTTATATTTTTATTGAGTACCATTGCAAACTGACTATAGTGTGCTGCTTGAAAACATATTTTACACAATAGAAAATTACATAGTACCCATTTTTAAAGTTTCCAAAATTTACTTATTCATGTGCTTAGATTAGTATCTTTTGTAATGCTTATTAGGCAAATGAAGTAGCGTATTTTTTTCCATCAGCATTGTGATAAAGGATAGATTAAAAGAACACATGGCTAGCATGGCACTTTGTCAAGATATTTCTTCAGTGATACTCCAAAGAAGTATTTTGATCAAATTCTGTGTTACTAAATTAAGGAATGGTGAAAATTTTCACGAAATTGTATATTCCTTACCTGTGGGCAGTCTTTGATGTAGTGTCCCTTATTAAAGCAGAGGTGGCACAGGTAGTTAGGAGGTGGCCTCTTGCTAGGTTTTCTGGCTTCTGAAGAAAGGGATAGGTCAGAGAAATGCTCAGTGAGGGAGCTTAACCCATCCACAATGTTATTAAGTGAGCCATAAGGTGATGCACTCTTGTACAGACTGCTGCTCAGAGCCTGCAAAAGAAAAGAAAAAAGTCACATGAAACATAGTACTTTATTAAGGATTGCTATGAGACTGATCTGAGTAGGGGAAGGACAAAAATAGCAGAAAAAAAAAAAAAAAGCTTCTTGGTTTGTTGGGTTTTTTTGTTTGGGTTTTCTTTTTTTTTTCTGTTGGTTTTGGGTTTTTTTGATTAAGAATATGGCTCCATATTTAGGAGAGCAATATACAGGTCATTAATAAGGAGGCTTCACAAACACAGTGCAGTGGAGCTGGTCAACCCACTGCTGAGCAAACTACTGAGTTTGCCATGGTTCACTTAGTCCAACCTCTCCACTGAGCAACAACTGCTTTCTTCTGTTTGATCATACCACATTAGAATATGCAGTCAAAAAGCTGAAAGAAGAAACCACACAAGGGAATGGCTTTGTATTCAAAACTACTTGCATGAACAATACTGAAGTCAAGGAAAGGAAAAGAACACCAAGAAAAATGTAAAGTAATTTTTAATTTCCAATCTGGTTAATAATACAGTCAACACAGAGTCCCGTATTAAAACAATAACAAGAAACATTCAGATCAACATCTGTCTTGGATTTTCTAATGGGAAACCTGCTGTGATTTAAACATTTCCTGATAAAGAGTAAATACCTAGTTTTTGTACTTTACCTCAATAGGGTCTTCACTCTCAATCTGCAAATCAAAATCAAGAGCTCCTAATTTTCCATTCAGTAGCTTTGGAACAGCAGGAAACCCATAAACACCTAAGTAGCTAATCTCCCTAATGGAGATAACAAGGATTCATTTATTTTAATGTGTTAAGGCTCAAAAGAAATTGTGTAGTTGGAGTTTAAAAAGTAAATAATAAGCAGCTAAAAAAAAAAACCCAACATAATAATGAAAATCTGTAGAAACAGGACCAGCTATTGACAGTCCTCTCCACTCTGAAACGATGGGACACATTTCACAGGGTGTTTCTGTGTTAGGTCTGATACACCTCACAGTAATGCTATGTTCATGTAATTCTCCTGGCGTCAAAGAATTACTGCTTACGTATGGGAAAGTGAGGTAAGAAGTCCAGTATGTGCCTCTGGAGACCTTGTTTTTCAGTGCTGTTAAATCCCAATATTTCAGCAAAGTCTTCACATACGTCATATATGTTTATATATATATATATTGAAGGCATGCATTGGAATTGATTTAGAGTTTGTGAAATATATCTGAAATGGAATTACATCTATTTCAGAGATCTCAAACATTCAGGATGTCTGCAGAGCCAGTGTGTTTTCTTGGCGACTGTCATATGCCAGCAGAATCATACTGAAGCTCTAGGTACAATTATCTGGATGAGTCCCATCTATCGCTGATTCCCATCCCACTGCAGCTGGTGTACACCACAAATAAGAATTCAGCCTAAGTGGCAGGCCACCACCATACAGATAATAATCCACTTCACCCACCCTTACGACAGTCAACCAGAACATGCTGAGCTTTGCTAACCCTTTCTTATGAAGCTGAAGCTGGTACAGATGAGCAGGATCAGTTCAAAGAGCAACAAAGTAGATGCTGATCTCATGGGCAGGGTTAGGACTTCACACACCACTGAAATGCTCATCATTTTACTCCCAGCACAGCATAATTCTGTGCTGGTGCAAGATGTTCTGGCTGCTGAGAGGAGAATCAGCCACTTTATTTCAGGGGTTAAACCCACAGATTTTAAAAGGAAAAGCTATTGAAAAAACTAACAAAAAGGTTTTAGCTGCTTTAGCCATCAAGCAACAGAAGATACTTCCAACAGTCACTGGAATTTATTTTCTAGGATTTACTGGACACATTGGAATGAGACATTCTTGGCATCAAATTGTTAAAAGGAAGGGGAAGTGCTATGGATGCCAAAATAGCATTAATTAAGGGTCTTCAAGAAGTTCTTGTCTCCCTAGGAGCCGCTTTCTTTCACATACACTTGGAATAATACAAAATCTTTCTTTTTAAAAAGAGCCCCTCTTGCCAAGAGATTCTTAAAGCACTTCACATGCATTACACCCACCAGTAACTTTGTAAATTCCCTGTTATCTGATTTTTATAGAAGGGTGGTGTATGGACACACAGAATGTGTGAAATCCCAAATTCTTTACCTATTGCTGAAATCTGGAACATACCCTGTGGATGTAGAATATGTAACTCCTGCCCATCAGGAGGCTACTACTTCTGCTCCCAGGACCAACCCAGTGACAAAACAAAACATATCTGTCTGCTGCCTTCAGTAGGCTTTGAATTGGACATGTGGCTTGCAATGGTGGCTATTTTCTTTTCTAGATATCCTTTACACTGAGCTATTACCCCCATTATAAGGGAGCAATTTGGCACCATGACCAACCCTTCTTGGCTATTTCAGGTGAATGCAAAAACATAAGGATTGTAATGACCACAGTTTTGCCCATTGTAAGCAAACCTTTACAAACTTTTGTTTGTTTTAACTATGGCAGCCAGAAGCTTTGTCAAAGGCCAGGATCCCATCAGACTGTGGGCTATACTGGCTCTAAATCATAATCTTAGCAGCCACCAACAGCTCTGTGGCCAAAGCATGACACACAGCTCTGAAAGTGGCACCTCGTTCAGCTGGCAAGGTATTTGTGCAATGCATGCCAAAGTTGGACATGCCAAAACATCCAGCCTACATACACTACCATGAAATACTTCCTTATAATCATAGAATAGTTAGGGTTGGAAAGGACCTTAAGATCATCTACTTCCAACCCCCCGGCCGTGAGCAGAGACACCTCGCACTAAACCATCTCACCCAAGGCTCTGTCCAACCTGGCCTTGACCACCAGGGATGGAGTATTCACAGCTTCCCTGGGCAGCCCATTACAGTGCCTCACCACCCTTACTTTAAAGAACTTACTCCTTATATCCAATCTAAACTTCCTCTGTTTAAGTTTTAACCTGTTACCCCTTGTCCTGTCACTACAGTCCCTAAGGAATAGTCCATCCTCCAGCATCCCTATAGCCCCCCTTCAGACACTGGAAGGCTGCTATGAGGTCTCCACACAGCCTTCTCTTCTCCAGGTTGAACAGCCCCAACTTTCTCAGCCTGTCTTCATACAGGAGGTGCTCCAGTCCCCTGATCATCCTCGTGGCCCTCCTCTGGACTTGTTCCAACAGTTCCATGTCCTTTTTATGTTGAGCACACCAGAACTGTACACAATACTCCAAGTGAGGTCTCATGAGAGCAGAGTAGAGGGGCAGGACCACCTCCTTCGACCTGCTGGTCATGCTCCTTTTGATGCAGCCCAGGATACGGTTGGCTTTCTGGGCTGAGAGTGCACACTGCCGGCTCATGTTCATTTTCTCATCAACCAACACCCACAAGTCCTTCTCCGCAGAGTTGCTCTGAATATAATAATCATCTTGAGGGCCAGTGTTCAAAAAGGAAAAGACACAAATATAACATCCCAGAAGATGACAGCAAAAGAGAAGATGGACACTGCCAACATCAGTGGTGTTTCAAAGAATAATGAATTCATTAGGGAAAATTCCTAGCCACTCCCAAGATGCAGCCGATCTCTCCTGCTATACAGTCAGGCAAACTACTTCAGCAGTTTCTGCCAATCTGACCTGGAAAATAGTCTTAAATCAATTTAACTCTGAGTCCATGTGAAAAACACATCAATCTGGCACTTAAAATATGCTATAAAGAGCACTGGCACAAATGGTGTTACATCCTGTTGCTAGCTGCGGAAATCTCCAGTTCTTCAGAAGGAGATGAGGAAAAAGCCATTCCAGAAAGCCAAGTTATATAACAAGGGTGGTGGTGGTGGGAAAGTTCAGCCCTGTCCCTGGAATCAAATAGTGAAAGCTCAGGAACATGTAATGAATGTGATGAAAACAAATTTAGTCCATTTTGTCTTTGTAGAAGACAAGCGGTGAATGAATATTGCTGAGATACATAAAATAGGTTGGGGTTTTTCCTATCTGGGGACCTTAACTGAGCAAATCAGCAATTCAACCCTTACTAAGTGTTTGCAGTGCTGCAAGGTGATTTTTAAGAAGGGCTCTGAACAAAACCTTGGAATTAGGTTCGCACTCTAAGGGGATGTCCAGGGAATGATCAGAACGACAGGAAGGTTGTTGATGGTCTCAGGCAGACACAGTAGAAAGGAAAACAGAGAGGAAGAGGGAAATGCATTTTCTAAATCATTCTGGTCTCAAGTATATTGGTACACATCTGGAAGGTTGCAGGGAGACTGTTCCTCCGATGATTTCCACCAAAAGCAATGACTATTCTGTGTTCACAGTGTGCCAGTAGCAAAGCTAAACCTTTATCTTTGAGAAGCAGATAACAAATAATACCTCTCAAATGGAGTCTCATTTTGAGCTGTAACAAGATGGAAAGGATTTGGCAGTGAAAGGGTTAGTATTCTCCAGAAGTTGAAAGACCACACTGCATGTCCTAATTACAAGGCTCATCAGGCCAGCTGCGATGAATTCAGGATTTCCTTATCTTTCTGTATAGGGGGATGATAGGGGGTCTGGTGGTAAAACTTCGAAACTGGCTGGCTGGGGAGTTTCAGCTGATGATGTAAGTTTGTTTGTCCTTCCTATGAAACTTGTCGACTTAGCTGAATGTGAACTAAACCGAAAATCTGGTATTGTAATTTCTGAAAGTAACCTCTCTGCTTAGTAGATCTATAAACTCTATCTGTTGGTGGTGTTGGGAAGCAGGGCTTCCTTTGTTACTTGTTTGCTGTTTCCAGTTAAAGGGCACGTAATCTATGAGGCTGCAGTGTGGTCCTTTGTGAAAGAGGCAACTATTGTCTTCTATAGCTTAGTTACTCTGATTTCCAGTTGGGTAACACATGTGAGTGACTCAAGAGTTCCAGCATCTTGCTCACCTCTAAGAAATTCCTAGTTAAGTGAATGATTTGGCAAATACTCTTGATCCTCTTGCCTAGTGCCTGCCTTTCAAAGATGGCTTTTGTGCCTGATGTGCCAAGAGGGTGGGTAAGAAAAT